TGAAGCCTTCCTGCGATTCACATGCCTCATTTCTCAAAACACTAACTGCTCAGGTTCCTCTGTGAATTAATGTGCTACAGCACTAGAAAATCCCCAGCCCTCCCTGTCCCTCTCTTCTCTGCGTAATAAATAATTCTTTGCATCCTCCTTTCCTTCCCCTCACACTAAGCAACAAATTTGCTTCTTCCAAAAGGAATTCTTTCCTTTTACATAATCCTTTTAACACTTTCCTATACCCTGGTTGTTAATACACTTGCATGTTGTGCCACAACTTTGCCAGCCTCTCCTCTTTGTTGTTAACAACTGGATGTATAAATGTAGACTGTGCCACTTCTCAGTGACAGAGAGGATGTTTCCAAGAAAGCACCAAATTAGCACGTGAGAGTTCTTCTCTCAGCTTTGAAATCAGCTCCAGGGCAGAAGACATGCTTTTCACCTTCCTCCTGTCCATGTTAGCTGAGCATGCAGATCCACACAGTAAAGGTCTCTTTCACCCAGACACTGAGGAATCTGTTGCTAACAGTTATCCTGGAACATCCACATCTCCCTGAGATTAGCTCAGTTGGTTACAGCACAGTGCTAATAATGCCAAGGTGGTGGGTTAGATCTTAAGATTCACTAAAGAGTTGGACTCAATGATCCTTGTAGGTCCCTTCCAACTCAGAATATTTTGTGAGCAAGCCTTGCTGCAGGCAGAGCTTGCAGAAAACCACATTTATACAACTGGGAACTGCAGGTAATAATGCCATAGCAGACACCTCACTTCAACTCACTCCCTAAATCACAGTCTAATCCTACAGTGTCAGTACCTGCTTTTCTCATTGACAGAACTTCTGGTGGGTTTCTATTGCCCAAAGTTCCTTGGCATTAAATGACATGCTGTTACTGACTTGAACACATATATTCTAGCCCAAACCAGTGTTTTCTCCAAAGATGAGCATTTTTGTGTCATTACATGGAAATCTCAGCTTCCAAGAAAGAAGTCTTGGCTTTAAAAAATGTGATTAGAAAATAGGACTTACAACATCTCAAAGAAGCCAATTCAACTTCATCTACAAACATGGAAATTTTTAAAAGTCTTCCAGCACAGGAAGCCCAGTAAGTAATTTTTGAGTCAGTTGGCAAGGCTGAAGATTGTCTCAAATGTAGTTTCTTTTGGTAAGCCTGTTATACAGATACAGTTCCCTACTCCCAGTCCCAGTTATCTCTATTGCTTTTGGTGGACAAAGGGAATGAAGGAGCTATCTAAAGGCCTTTTCCACTGAAGATCAAAAAATATTAATACTTTCATATGGAAAGTAGAAATTCAGTACAAACTGCCAGCTCAGAGCAGGGTATAGGCACATTCTGTATGTGTCCAACACTGGCTTCCTTGTGATGAGGCCCATCCCTTCAATATAGACAATGGACTGTTAGTATTTGAGGGACAAACTCTTTGAACCGCCTTGGTGGTCAGCTCCTACTTGGGTTACTTTTCAATAGGGTGGGCACAAGGTTGTGGAACACTCTGCAGGGAAACATCCATCAAAGCAAATTTCTGAAACTGAAGCAAGTGTGGGATATACATGGCTGAACCTGCTCAGGAATGGGGAGATGGAGTTCCGAGGCCCCTTCCAAGGCCTATGTGCAAGAGGTAAATCTATCCTGAGAATATGCACTCTCCCAAAGCCATAATCAGGGCCATTTCCAGGAGCTTGGGGTCACTTGGTTTTGAACAGAATGGGAGCTCCAACCATACACATTCCCACAGACCTGCTCCTTCTTTTACTACTAGAAGGTGACCTATGGAACTGAAGACCACTGAGTCACTCCTCCTTTCAAGAGAATTCACTGGCAAATGCCAGGATACACCTGAAGAGTTAAAAAAATAACTAAATTCAGCAAAAATAGCATAAAAACAAAGGCAGGGATGGCCAGCAGGTTCATTATGTCTCAGGAAAATAAGGCAACCCCCTTCCTTTATTTTTTTGCTAGTAAGTCAACCATCACAACCAAAGCCACGAATCATTTATCTGCAAATACCCCCAGTGCCTGAGAATGCTGTCAGACTCCTCACTTGCTGTGTGCTGGCACTGGGACATACAAAGGTGTCTGGCCAATCTTGCCAGTTGAAAAGCTTCCCAGCACCAGTGGGTATGCCAATCTGCTACAGAGTAGGATACAGTGAACAACATTTTCTGCTGTGTGGGAAGGAATCACTTCTAATTCCAACTCTGTGGCTTGTGTCAGCTGGCAAGGACAAACAAGAAATTAGTTACAATGAAAGTATAATGTAACTCAGTCCAAAGACAGAGCCTTAACTGGCCCCTTTCCTGAGAAAATGTAGACTTCACGGGGAAATTGTTGCCAATGGAAGTAGAAGCACTCACTTCAGGAAGTATTGGCTGTAGCCAGTCTATCAGGCACTTTGGAGTTTAGGGCAGGAAAAAAGAAGGAAAGTCATCTTTTGGCCAAGGAACAGTATAGATCTTCATCTAATTCTTCTTTTCATTCTCCTATGTGCACAAGGGGCATAGGAGCAAAATGCATCTGCTAATTATTATGTGCTGCACGCAATATAAAACTGTCAGGGAAACCCTCAAACGTTAGTATTTTTCCTCTCCAGTGGTTTTTAAGAGATGAAGAGTTTTGGGGAATGGATGTTTTTGTAGTGTCCATATCTTCTCACCTCTGCTTTCCACAGTGCACATTGCCTGGGCTTGCACAGCACACAGCAATGTTATCCTCAGGCCAGCAAAAGAAGAGGGCTAGGGTGCACAGATGACCCTGCCCAACATATACAACGGTTTTGCCCTGGTTTTTTTTAAAGATGTTCCTTAGATAAATGTCATCTCTCCCTTGGTAACCCTTTCCCTTTCTCAACAATTAACAGTCCAACAGTGGATCAGTTTGACCTTCTTTTCTTGGAAATCATTTGACCTGTACAGCCAAGTTTGTTCTGCATAAAACAGTTTCAGCCATTTGTACATCCCTTGCGCTTGTGTTGCTAATAAAGGTTTATATTTGGTGTTGCTAATAAAGGTTTATATTTGGCATGGACAGATAGCATTGAGTTGTTCTCTGTTATGAGTGTAGGCAATCCTGTTAGGCTCTGACTATTTGCCAGAAACAATGGTGATTGCCTGCTGCACATCTCAGCATCATGGGAGCTGACAATTTGTTGAAGTTACACTCTAGATCCAAAAAGCTTCAGGACAACTCCTTGCTTTAACCCATGACTAGATGGTCTTCATAGCAGCTCTCCATAGCTCAAGCCCTGCTGCTCTCAACACCACTGTTAATAAGCTCTATTACAACTTGAAAGCTCCTGTCTGAAAGGTCCAGTTTTACACAAGTACTTAGTATGACAGGGGAACATTTAAAAATGCTTCTCAGTGAGGTCATTAAAATGCAGAGAAACTTCCACTGCAGTTAGAGAGTCAGAGGATATGGTGGCCTGAGAAGCAAGCAAGCTGATACAGAGTAGGTCATACCATTTCACTGCTCCACATTTCAACTCTCCCTACTGCCAAACACAGAGGACAGCGTATCTCCTCTATAGAGCTTATATAAATCTACAGATGAAAACTGCAAAGAATAGCTAATGCTTATTATGTAAAGATCCTGCCCTTCTACCACGTAGGGCTACTCCAACAACAGTCATTTTGACCCAAGGGCAAGACACTCCTTTCCTCTATACAAAGTATGTTCTCCCAATTAGGGCTGCCCTTTGCAGAGTATAGCACAGCAGGTTTTCAAATGCCTGCAAGATCTTTAAATGTCACCATTTGCTACAGATCACTGAATTTCGTGTGCTCTGACTCAGGCTGCCATAAAGGTGAAGA